ATTGTCTGATTGCCGTACTAGGTGCAAGGTAGGGTGTTGTTCACAATTTCTGTTTGCTGTACTAGGTGCATGGGTAGGATGCTGTTCACATTGTCAGTTTGATGTACTAGGTGCAGGGGTAGGATGCTGTTCACATTGTCAGTTTGATGTTCTATGTGCACGGGTAGGGTGATGTTCACATTGTCAGTTTGTGATTGAGAGTCAGCCAAAATGGAGGGGATCCGAGAAGACGGAAAGGACGTCTCAATTGGAGAAAGCTCGGAGAAAGCTGGGGGTAGCAAAAGGGGACCTCAGGAAAACAGGGAAGGGGGAAATGATATGAGAACAAGTCCTTGGAACTCAGCAGGATCCACCCCTAAGAAGACGAAAGTCTTGGATACCAATCACAAATTGGAAGAGATAGAGAAGCGGACCGCGGAATTTAAGGCAAGACTTATCGAGCAGATGATGGCTGGGGATGAGGAGGACCTCCAGGATGCAGGGTCACGTGAGGGACGCAGGGCCGGTCAGGACGAGGCTAGGTATGTGGGGAAGGATGATAGTCACAAAGGAATGTCTAGCAAGAAGGGGAAGGACAAGAGCGACCCCCCGGCGGAAGGAACGGAAAACGCTATGACCCCACCCGCCATTGACAGCGACACTAGCAGACTACCCGCCACGCCGAAAGTAACAGGGGCGTGTGACGGACTCTGGAGCCTTAGGGAGAGAGTGCTAGGATGGTTCGACCCAGAAGGAACACCGAAAACCAGGGAGAAGCAGAGGGAAAGCAAGGAAGGGGAAGGAGCCAGTGCAGCCGGGGAAGTGGGTGGCTCCGAAGACGGTCTCAAGAAAGTAGTCGCCACCCTCAACAGGACACTGAACAAGAACCAGGGGAATCTCGCAGATGCAGAAAAGAAACTCACGTTCGATGGGGCCAACATTACGGAGTTTCTAATAGACTATGAGAACCTAGCAGCCTTACTGAAATGGACAGAAGAGGAAAAGATGGAGCACCTAGGACAACACGTATCACTAAGCTTGGGAAGGGACATTATGGCCATCGTCGCCTCCAGTGGATCCTGGAAAGAAACCAGGAATGAGATGATGAGGAAATACCTGAAGGCAGAGAAAATGGCAACAGAGGCCGAATTAGCTGCAGTCCAGAGGAAAAACTATGCGACTTACAATGATTTCCTAAGGGCATTCACGTTAGTGGCTCTGCGAATTCCCAGGGTAACGGACCGTATAATGAGTAAATACTTCCTCAGGCAAATTTTCGAGTTCGATAAAGATAAGATTTTGTCAGCTTACCAGCAGACTAGTAAGTTCGAATACACGAGAGACGTGCACTTCAACACCGTAACAGACCTTGCGAAAAAGACAGTAGTCACCGAGACGCTAGCCCTGCTTAAGGAAGGGGAGGTCATAGATCTGACCGGGAAGACAGGGGATAAGGTCAAGAAGGGAATAGAGAGTCTGCACGAACAGGTGCACGGGGTTGATAGCAAGATGGACAGAATGAAAAATGCGCTATTAGTAATGCAGGCGCAAGTATCCAGGCCCGCCCTCCCGCCCCAAGAGGCCATGGTTCTGGCAGCTGTAGTAAACCGGGGGTTTGGTAGGACCCGGCCAACGAAGAATGCAAGTATTGCACCATGATCCGGCATTTCGTATGGGCCTGTCCGAGACTCAATCACGATAACGAGCGGCAGAGGTGCAGTAGGTCCCTCAAAGGCGAGGTCCTCGGACCCAGGGGGGAGCGTGTTAATTGGAACTCGCCAGGAGGGATGCGGCGAGCCGTCATCCTCCTGAATAACTTAAAGATAGTTTCCGTAGAAGCAGAGCCGATAGCCGAGATTGTCTGGGACCAGCCAAGGGGACGGGGACCACAGGCCAATTTTATCCTAGAAGGCAATGGCCAGGATAGGGTAAATATTACCACTCGCCGGGCCGGGGCAGAAAAGAAGTTCATCCAAGATACAGTAATGGAAGAACTCGCAGGGACGAGCACGGGCCAGCAAGAGACCGAAGTCGGGGATCAAGAGAAAGTCTATGGGAAGCCCAAGGGAGGACGAACCGGTAGACAAAGCTACGACCGCAAAAAAGAAGTTCAGGTATCAAATTCCGATCCTCACTTCGTCAGAAATCGATGGCACCTTGAGTAAGCTACTGGGTACCATGGTATCGGTGTCTTTTCAGACCATGCTGCAAGTCAGCCCAAGGCTGCTTAAAGGACTCAGGCAGTTGCTAACGCGTAAGCGCGTAGAGGTAGAGGAGGCCCCGGAACTGCAAGAGCAGGACACGGAGGAGGCCGAGGCGCCGCAAGGAGTCTCCAACCTCCAAAGCATTCCAAGGGGTCATAAATGCGGTAGCAAAAGCTCAGAGGAGGATGCGCGCCGTCGCAGGAGATATGTTTCCGGAAAAGTGTGAACCATATATAGATGATAATCCCGTAAAAGGCGCAAGGTACAAGGACGAGACGGAGGTTGAGCCGGGTGTACGAAAGTTTGTTTGGGACCACCTGCAGGATATTAAGGACCTACTCCAGCGCTTCCTCGTTTACAATATTACTGCAAGCGGACCCAAGAGCATCCTGACCGTCCCGGAAGTAACCATACTGGGTTTTCGTTGTGGACCTTATGGGAGGAGACCCGATCCAGCAAAGACTGATAAGATCTCTCAGTGGCCGACACCCCTGCGTACCACGACGGAAGTACGAGCCTTCCTAGGGGTGGTTGGCTTCTGGAGGATCTTCATCAAAGGTTTCGCAAAGATAGCAGAACCCATCCGCGCGATGATTAGGGAAGGTGGCACTATGGATTGGACAGAGGATAGGGAAGAGGCAGCCCAGACCCTGAAAGACATCCTGTCGTCCGATCACGTCACGTTAGCAGCACCCTGTTTCAATGACGAGGTAGGACGACCCTTCATCTTAGAAACAGATGGGGGACCATTGGCAGGGGGAGGAGTATTGATACAGAGAAGCGAGGAGGGCCAAGAAAGACCAATCAGATTTGAAAGTAGGACCCTGAATTCAGCAGAACGATGGTATTCGCAGTTCAAGAAGGAGATCTTAGCAATTCTGCATTGTCTTAAGACCTTCCAGGCATACCTGTTCGGGAGGCGATTTATCCTAAGGATCGATCCCACCAACGTTGCCGGAGCCCTTAAGAACTACAAGCCCATAGACCCGACTGTCGGCAGATGGATAGGCTTCATATGGCAATTCGACTATAAGGTCGAGCGAATTGCACGGCTTCAAAATAGGGCAGATGGGTTGAGCAGGGTTTGTATCTCGCCAGAAGGAGTAGAGGACGCAGAACCAATTGACGCCTTCCTGGAGTACGAAGGAGGGACCCTTGTCGTGGATAATGAGATGGCAGATGCGGCAATTACAACAGGACAGTTGCTGATTCAGACCCTGGAAAAAGGCGCACCTGTAGTAGTTGCAGAACTCAGGGAAGGACCAGTCACCACGGTCAGGCGCAAAGAGGAAAAAGACTCGTGGGGAGCAGAAGTAGGGGCCAGAGAGGAATTGATGGCAATGACCGTGGAAGGGGGACGGGACGCCGTAATGACATTGGCCGAAACCTGGGCGCAGAAGGAGTGTCAATACCTAGTCAACCTCACTCGGGAGGAGCAGGGTGCGGATCAAAACGAACACGAATTCTTCCTCATACAAATGTATGAGGGCGTTTTCAAAGAAATCGGGTTGCTGCTTGTCGGGAACAAACAACCCACGGAAGTCAGTCCCCAAGCATGGGAGGAAGTAGAAAAGTACGTCCTAAGAAATGGCCACCTGTTCAAGAGAGAGGAAGGGATGATACCTAGGCGTGTCGTTTGTGGGAGGTCTAGGCAGCTAGACGTAATCCAGGCAATGCATGACGGGCTAGCTGGAGGTCACCGGTTGTCCAAGGGGACACTTGCAAAGATCGTGCCCCTAGACTTTTGGCCAAGGATGGCAGGCATGGTCGCAACATATTGTCAAACGTGTCTGATATGTCAAAAAAGAAGCGTCGTACGAGTTTACGAGCCCCTTAGACCCACCCGGGTACTGGGACCCGGACACCTTGTTCACCTCGACCTTGCCGTTATGCCCGTATCAACGGATGGGTTTAGATACATCTTGGATGCAAGGGATAATCTCAGTGGCTATGTGGAAGCCATAGCCCTCAAGAAGAAGACGGGGAAAGCGGTGGCCGACTGGGTGGAAGATTTTTACCTAAGGCACCCCTTCGTGCGCAGGTTTATAGCAGACAATGGGACAAAATTCGTTAACCAGGAAGTGTTTAACACGCTTAAGACACTGTGTATACCGATCAAGATCACCGAGCCCTACCATCCTGAGGCCAATGCACCAGTAGAAAGGGGTCACCGAACTTTGAAGAACACAATCGCAAAGTTGGCAGCAGATAATTTGGGAAGTTGGCCACGGTTTCTCAAGCAGGCAGTCTTCGCCGAGAACATGACTCCAAAAAGAACAACGGGATGTATTCCAGCAGAACTCTGGTATGGAAGGGAGATCGATTTTCTGATAGAAGCTTTGGTCCCTACCTGGAACAGGCTAGATGACGATCCACACTTGAGCACGGAAGAGTTAATCACCGCACGTTGTCAGCAGGTCGCCAGGAATGAGGAGGCACTCGAGGAAGTAGTCAATCAGGTGACGGACAGCCGAATGAGGGATAAAGCAAGATGGGATCAGGTTAAGAACATTCGGAAGGAGCCACTCCAAGTGGGGGAAAAAATGCTAATTAGGAACTCGGCTCTTGAAAGCACATGGTCCGGGCAGCTGGGAAAACGATTCAAAGGGCCCTACAGGATCGCTAAGCGGGTGGGACTGAACACGTTTGAACTTGAGGATCTCGATGGTACTAGCATAAGAGGGTCATTTCCGGGACAGAGATTGGTCAGATTTTCGAGCAGGAATCCGGTGGAACAGTGGCTACAAGAGGCCCATGACAGGGAAACTGGGGAACTGGCAGCCTGAAAGGCAGGCAGCTGGCTATAAGTTCTGGACCGCCTCCCTGTGGGAGTGATCATGACCATGGGGATTGTTCGTTTGTGTGTCTTGACTTTTGTGGAACATGGGGAGACTGCCTGGGCTGACTGTGACTGGCCTGGGAGCACGGGACAGTGTATTATGGTTTTTGGGGGGTAACGTTGGGGACTGTCTACGCGAGGTACTTATGGGCTGGGACAATGTACCATAGTTTTTGGGGTAGGGGGGGTGATGCTGTAGACTGCCTACATGGGGCACCTATGTGTTGGGACAACATGTCGAGGGTTCTAAGGGATAATGGGGCTACCAACTATGTGGGGGCAAGCAAGAGTTCCGGGGGAACTCCCAAAGCTGCGAATGGGAATGGGACGGAGTGTGTGTGCATGAGGGGCATGAGACTGTTATCCATGAACAGGGTCAGGCAAGAAAGAAGCCAGCAGCAGGAAAACAACAAGATGGAGTTTGGAAATGAGAGCGACAGCAATGCAATTAACAGGTCGGATGAGGGACAGTCCTCAAGACAAGTCGGAGAATCAAGCTCCAGGAAAAGGAAGTTGTATGTGGGGTTCGATCACAACCTAGTTGTGAACAGGGGGGGCAGGAAGCAAGGAACCAGGGRGCCATCGCCGCTAAAGGAAGGGGAGCCAATAAAATTGTCATCATACCTTAGTAGCAAGGAAGAGGGGGACCCGAAAAAAAGGCGAAGGCTGGAAGAGGGGAATCTAGAGGAGGGGCAACGCCCGGGAGAGAATGAGCCAGTTGAGTTCATCGACCTCGCCGGCGATGAGGAGGATGATGAAGTGACAACGCCTACTAGGGAAGAACGGGGGAGAGGGGAGCAACCGGGTGAGAAGAAGGATAAATTGATAAAAGAGTTCAATTGGTTTGATCAATGGGGCACCATCTTGTGATACCAATGGATTATGAAGGCAAGGGAAAAGTTGGGCAGGGGAGAGGATCTATCCCCAAAACGTTCTTCACAGAACATACACTCCTCCAATTCCAAGCAATAAAGAGGCAAATGGAGCAGGAAGGAGAGAATCGCGCAAGGAGGGAGGCTCAACGCAGGCCACTTGGACGATAGAGGCACAACAATCTCTATCTTTGTGGAAGGGTTTGGTTCCGGGGCAGTCAGAGCTGCCATTTTGGATTTCGCATTGAAACTCTTTTGAATTTTCTAAGCCCAAAGTGACTAAGGACTGGGTTGTTAGCGCTACTTCGTACAAACGGTTGCACCATCAAGGAAAAGGCATGAGGGCTTTGCACTTAGAATAGAATTCGGGATGGCTGGGTAGATTAAGGGAAAGAAAAACGGAAAACAGCGGGGATCTAGACGAAGACGAGTCTGTAATGTATGTCTTTGCATTCGAACTCTGTCTCTTTATTTTTCCGTCTAAAGACTGTAAGGAAACTACTTTTTGGGAGTAAGAAAGTTAGTAGAGGGTGGGTGATCAAGGTTACTTTGTATAAGTATTTGCTCCGTTTGGAAAGTATGAGGTTTTTTTTTCGGTAGTAAGAAACGGACTTTGGGGATGATTGACTTTGCCTCGAGAAAATAGGCAGGGGCATGTGAACTCTTGAACATTGGAAGATGCAGTCAGGGTGATAATTTTTCCTTTGAAATTGTGTATCCAGGACTGAATGAGTCATTGCATGAGCCCTTGTGAGAGGTTAGGGGACCTATGGGTAGAGAGACACCCTCTCCCCTAGGAACCTAATCCAACCTACCCCAGGCAATCCCAGAGCATTGAAAAGCATATGAGAAGTCAGAAAAGTGACAAAGGGAAATATTGAAATGATGCAACACCCCTTGCAATGGTTGAACGGTCGGGCGAGCTAGTGTTGCTTGGGGCCGCGAGCCTCAACTTAAGTATTAGACGCTAAGTCGGATGTATGGATGGATGTAAGAATGACAAAAGACATGAGGAAAAAGAAGAAGCATGCGTAAAAACCCAAGACTATGGCCGCCCTCTAACCCCCCGAGACAAGATAGGATCCGTGTCCTCAAGGCCCACCCCCTCGGGCGCTAACATTGCAATGGACAAGGATGGTCCTAATCAGGCTGCCCAATTGAAATGGATAAGGATGGTCCTAACTAGGTTGTCCGATTGCAATGGATAAGAATGACCTAACCAGGCTGTTCGACTTGGAAGTAGAAAGAACGACCCTAACCAGGTTGTTCGGAATGGCCCCTGACAAGGGTCATTCTTTGGAATTGGCACTGGGGTCCCCTTGCATGGTTGGTTGTGAAGCATGGAATTGGAAGAGTTGAGCCTTGGAAAAGAGATCGGAAGAACTCAGCCTTGGAAAGGATATTGGACTCGGCCTTGGAAGAGATATTGGATTGAGCATCGGAATTGGAATGAGCCTTGGAATTGGATTGAGCATTGGAACTAGATTGAGTTTGGGAATGAGACGACGCACTGGAATTGAGTACTGGAAATTGCATTGCATAAACAGGGGACCCTAGGCAACTTGAAATGGACTTGGAAAGAGCTGGAAATTGATTTTCTTTTTCTTCTAGTCTTTGGCCTCAGCAAGAGGGGGATACCGATGCATGCATCGCGACCCCAAGACCTCTGTCCCTCTGAGGGAAAAAGTCTCAGCGCGACCTGCTCCTCCTTTAAGAGGACGAGGGTTAAAGGACTAAGGCACCTACCACTTGGATCGGTGCGGGACGTCCGGAACCACCTCCGACAATGAGATCTAGTCGGGGAGTTCCAACTGCGCCTCCTGTTGAACGCCTAAATGTCAAAGGACAAGAGAGTCAAATGGGCAGGAAAATCATTCTCAGCTAGTCTATTTTGCTACTCTCCAACCACACGCCATGTCATAGAGGGGTGGCATGGCCGTTTGGGTCGGACCACGGCTGCCCGCACTAAGTTGGGCGGCACTGTCCAAGGGGAGAGGCCGGGCGGAGTACCGGGTGGAGTCCGCGGCCACCATGGGGCATTGACACCGCCCCGCCGAAGCATTACAACCGCTTCGGGACTAATTGCGAGGTCTTTGTAACTGCACTCGCGAACTAATTGAGAGCACCAACTCTCTTGAAAGGAAGACGCCGGAATCCAGAAAATCACCACTCGGGAGGAACGATTCGCGAGGAACACTCTTACGGCAAGACGAGACGCCTGGCAGGCTTGGATTGGACCTACCTGACAGACATAAGGAAAAACCTTGGTATCGGTGTTCGCCACGTAGGAGAAAAAAGGTCGGACCGAGTAGGAGGATGAGGCGTCGTCCGTTGGGGAGGAACTAATCACTCTTCCTTTTGTGAAGCGGATGGGCTTGTGTCCTTGACTGCGGTTGGTGGACCAAAGGTCTCGTACCTCCGAGTGAGGACCAGTCGTGCGATGGGGACATCGCGTTTTGAGTGGGGGGAAGGTGTGCCATCTACCAATCAATACGCATGGAAAAAAACTTGTAATTGGTTTTGCATGGGCTTAGGAAAAAGGGGGTCTGTCAAGATGGCCGGAACAGAAAAAAATTGTAATTGGCTTTGCATGGGCCTAAGAAAAGGGGGCCTGGCAAGACGCCAGGGCAGAAAGGACTTGAGCAAGTGACATGGTATGGACCTGAGAAAAAGAGCCTGGCAAGACAACCTGGAGGGAAAGGATTGATGAGATTGGTTCTGCGTGGGCCCGAGAAAGGAATTGGCAGATTGGGGAATGGCTGAGGGATTGGCTTGAATAGGAGGGCCTAGCCAAGGAATGGGTTGAGCATTGCATATGGAAAGATAATCGAGCAGAGGGCAAGTAAGGACAACAGGGTGATATGCTTGCGGATTTGGCAGGACTTGAGAAAAGCCGGAAAGAACGGTCAGGGAGGAATGCACGTGGATTTGGTCATGCCTGAGCTTTGGGAGAAGAAAACTTGCACCGAAAATGTGGGGAGGCCCTAAGAGTAATGAATGGAATGAAACCGGAAGGATGTCTGCTCAAGAAAGTTTTCTCGATGAAATGGGAAGATAGATTTGAGATTACGAATGCAGCCTTCAAGACATTGTTGAGAGCGAGAAATAACGTACAATGAAAAACTAGCTGCAAGACATGTCTGTGGTCAAACTCCTCCAAGGGGCGATGCTAGTCAACTTGATAAGGAAAAGAGACATCAAGCTGCTTAAGCTCCTTGATGTGTTGCTAGCTCGCACCTGGAGGAAGCCATGGCGAATGATCCTTGTGACATTCGCCGCCAAAATATTCCTCTTACCACGGTCCCTGGGGAGGGTGATGGGCTCATCGTCCTCTCTTTTGTGGGATGACACCGGAGGTTGGTGGGAAGCTCTTGGGTATTTGGGAGTTCCAGTGAGAAAGAGATACAGTTGTGAGACGGACGTTGATGCACAGAAAATGTCACGCGCTCGTTACAAAGACATTATTGAGTTTGGGGACGTTACGCAATTTAAAGGAAACCCGAAATAAAACCTTGACCCCTTCATGCCCTCCCCTGCCCCAAGGGCGGAAACTTAAAGAAGGACCCGAGAAAAGAGTGGGAAAGACAAAAAGAACCCTGACAAGCTAACTAACCATCCTACCCCACCTCTCTTCCCTATCTGTCTATCATTCCAAAATTCCTATTGACCATGGATTGGTGCGCGATGAGGACATCGCGAATGAGTGGGGGGAATATGTCGGGACTGGTGAGTCCCGAATGACTTCCCATCACTCGAGAGACTTTATATGACCAATTTGTGCACGACAGAGAAAACCGGAGGCAGGTATGCTGGAAAGAGCGGAAGCATGGGCACAGATAGTAAGAGGCTAGGGGCTGCCCGAAGTCGTCCGGACCGCCAAACTAGAAAAAGGAATTGTCTAAGTAGGAAGCAGCGAAGGACTTTGAGAGAATAGCAAGGGCGACACTCTCCCCAAGGACGGAGAAGGGCCGCCGGGAAGTTGGTAACAACGTAAGAGGTGTGCAGCGAGGGAAGGGAGAAAGTAGGAAGGGACAGGGCGCAAGGCGCTGGCGTGACATGACGGCAGGGGGGCCAAGGAGACCGTAGGACATGCAGGAACCAGCACCCGAAGCGGAACAGCGTGCGGGGCGCAATAGGAGCAGGGAGCAGAGATCGCCGCAACAAGGGAGGACATC